GGTCGGTCGGGGGGGTGGGCGACGCGAGAAGGGGAGGAAGGGGGCGACCATGAGGGTGGCAAAGTGCTCGGCAGTCGTGTAACGCGTTTCCCGCCGACAACATCGGCTATATCGGCAACAATATTAAATCGCGGCCGAGTTTCCGCGTTTCCACGTGTTCATCGCGTGTATTCGGTGCGGACCTGATCGCCATTGGTCGCCGCGTACCGCGGCAACCTGTATTATCGATCGAAACGTGCGTATTGCGCACGTTGCCGCAGTTACGAGTGTCGCCGGGTGGCCCCGCGGCTCCGTGCTACGGCACTGGGTCTGTTTTGTTGTGGCGACACGCGACGTCGCGCTGACAAAACTGCCTGCCGATTTCGATCCCGTGTCCCATGCCTGGCCATGAGAACGCCGAGATTAGGATGATCGAGAACTGTCGCCGGTGCAGCCACGTCCACCGTCAAAATCGCCGTCCAACCGCCACGTTCTGCCATTTCAAATCGCACGCACGTCGTCACGCGCGTCGCCGAGAAAACTCGCCATCCGACCACGACGATTCGTACGCGCCGTGATAATTGAGCCGCCGATCGGATTGCACGAACCAGAGGATCGGTACGTCGTTTCTTCTTCGCCGTGGATTATGGTGTAACAGTGTGTTCAAAAGTTCTTTCGGCAGGTTTCGGGATCCCCGGTCGATACCGGTACCTGTTTTACCGATACCACGATCGTCGAATATTCTGGCGGGAAAATCGGCGGTGGTGAATGGCGTGAAGTTAGCGTGTCGTTGATTCGAGCGGTCAACGAGATAATACGTCCGTCTTGTAATGAAAGTGTTCAACCCGATTGTGCCTTTGATCGATCTTGATCGTTTGAACCGTGTTCGGAGACCGAAGTTCTCAAGAGATTATGGTGTTACTGTTAACGGTGAATGATCGCTGCTGTCCTCCGGCCGTGGATGGTTGCAGTACCGAGTCTCCGAATCCACATCCTAGAAGGTAAGCCGCTTTTTAAGGGCACGTGCTTTTTTATAATTACAGGCTCCGTGGTTTCTCTCTTGACTTTCCGTCAAGTTTCGGCCGAGGTTTGTTTGCTCACACGATCTCCTACGCGTGTAATCAGGTTCGTCCAAAGATCGCTTAATCTATTCGTGATCTCCCCTTGTTGCAGGATACCGCTAACCTTCTCGGCAAACTTTACGTCTAACTGTGTGCAAGGTGACAATCAGATTAGGGATATTAGTCGGGTCTCCGAATGTTGCTGCATGGTTTTAATTTAGCGTACTTTCGTAAGTGATTGTCCACAGGTTCAAACGATGATACCGATTAGTTTGTGTTGGCATTGATTTGGCGAAATTAATAGTTTCTCGATACGGATACTTCCGTCATCAGGTTAGGGTATGTTTTAAATAATATTTTCTCCATGTGGATGCTACTATCCTATGTTCAAAAATTTCTGTACCTAATTACTAACTATTACAACAGATTCTTTCGCAATTTTTTTACTTTGCAACACTCTTTTTTTTGAAAGGTGTCTCTAAAAATGCTTAGCAGAAGAAAGCTTGAAAACTGAGATGCATCGTTTTGTGCCAATGCAGTAAGCACGTGTATCTGTTGATGTTTTGGTCCGCCGAAGTCGCTAAACAATGGCGAACCGTACAATCCGGCATCCCACTGATCCAGGTATCAATGAAGCAAACCGCCATATTGACCAGCCAAAGTAAACACGCCGAACTCGGTCAACGCGATAAGGGCTCGGATTCGTGAAAAAAAAAGAACGGAGGTCCTGCCTGAACAGTGACGACCCAGAAACAATTCCGGCGATAAAAACCATCAAGATATCTTGCGTCGACTGTCCGCGGGCAGCCAATTAGAACCGTCCGCAGTCGTTTGTTCCTGTAAATTGCAAGGTAGCTCGGCGGTAGCCTTAAAAGCAGATAGACGAAAGGTAAACCTTCCGTGTCTTCGCGATAAGGTTGCCGACGTAATCTAACCCCGGAGGTAGGGCCGGACGGTAAGAAGACACCGGGCATCGTCCACGACGACGCGTCCTCGTCGGACGGTTCTTCAAGGTCGTCGACCTTAGGCGTCTCGTATGAACGGGCTTGCTTGCGCGAGACACGTAATTGTGCTTGGAAGACGGCGTGGGAGGAGGATAGATAAACGAGATGGAACGTGCGAGTCGGGGATACGGGGGTGACTTTGTGGGGTCGGTCGAGGGGGTAGGGGGTTCGGTTTCAGTGACGTTGTCCCGAAACCGAGGGTAACGAATGAACGTTGATGTAAGGGAGGGAAAAGGGAAAGTGACTGCATAGAGGGGGAGCAAGCGGACGCCTCGGTTGCATCGCGGTTATGGGCTTTCGCGAATCCTTACGGGGTCATTCGGCGGACCTAGCGAAAACTTAACAAATAGGAAACTAGAAATTTGTTGGAATTTAGATTTAGACTTGATCCTATACAAAGATGACGCTGCTTGGGATTAGCCTCGTTCATCAATCGTTTCAAAGGTATCTCGGAAAGTAACTTTTCTAAGAACTGTCTCCAAGATCATCGGGAATTAAATAGTTGAGTGACGATTTTGGCACTTTGGGTCACGATAGACTTTGGCGAAGGGTTAACCCTTTGTTCTACGATTTTATCACGCTATTTATACTTATTGTATGTATTTATTTACTCAACACTTTGACGTCCGGTGGCGGCATTCTGCTGTCGCTCGCAGGTGGACTGCCAAATGCAGACAGCAGATGAAAGTTTTCTATCACCAGGGGTGAATATTTCACACAACTGGAGTTTATTATACTGTCTGCATACATCTGCATACATTAGTCCTGCTTTGTTCACCTGGTCCAGTTGATTAGGTCGTTTCAAAACTAATAGCACTTCAACTTTTGCCAGAAGACATTTTTTAATTAACGATAGAAATTTCTCTGTTATTTGACCAATTATAGAATTCGGTATGAAAGTGGGAATAATCATGAATTGATCATTCGAATGATAAGAATGAAAGTAGATTATAGTTTAAATAAATTACATTACCACCCTGTAAAACCGTAATACTATTACTGGCTGCTTTTAGGTGTATTCAAAGACAATACATTCTTCCCTCTTCCCCAGTACCACTTATTAGCACGTGACCGGCTTCTGCGACCACGTGTCAGTGACTCTCAACCTGCAGTCCGTCTGCACGAGTTTGCACCCATTAAGTGTCAAACATTCATAGGATATCAAAGATTATATAGTTTATATTAAATAGTTTATATTATACAGTTGAAAATCAATTTTTATTACTGTTATTATGAAGCATCTTCATACTGTGTTCTGAGATTCAGATAAGATTATTATTATTATTATTATTATCTTACAGTCCTCGTACCGTATTAAATCTGTTTTACACGACAACAAGATTATGTCATTACAAAATATTACTATTTTACTAGTTCAACTAATAATTACATCATAATTGAAATATGTTAATAACTTTCTCTAGAAATGTGTTGCATGTAGTCTGAGGCAACAAGGATCCATTACAAGCTTGTCATTACCATTCTAACAAATCCTATGTAATTGCATTACAAATGAAATATGTGAACAACCTTCTTCAGAATTTTGCAGTCTGACAAAGCAATAAGTGCTATTATAGTACTATTTCAAGAATCAGAAAAATGTTTAAAAACATTCTCGAAGCACAATATTGTACAATTCTGTCAAAACGAATTAACAACTACTTTCGAATGCTCAGCGATTTCCAACGGTATCGCGTCCGAGGTGTGCAAACAGAGTCAAAATTAGTTTTTCTCCCACACGAAGGGTTAAGGTTCGGATGCTCCTTGCGTCTATGTAATGTACAATGGCTACGTATACTTGGATGACTGGTCTGCACCCGGTCCTATCGACGATGCATCGCCATGGAAACGGCACCGTCGCACCAACGCGTATTATACTGCATAGTTCGTAGAAGTACCGCGTAAAGTACAGACATTTTCAAGGCCATCGATCTATTGCCGACTCAGGCGTAAGGGTGATTTCAAGAGCATCGAAAATCCGGGGGCACTCAGCGCAGTCTGGAGGATGACCGAACGATTTTCTTTTCAAAGCACATCGTGAGCATGCGGGTTCGCACCCACTATACCGTCTCCATTTACACTATAGTCTGCAGAATTTATGCAATTATGGCGAAAATGATCAGCTAGAAATTTGCAACGCCGGAAAAATTAAATCAGTCGAAATGCTCGCGGCGAGACCTCGATTATCCGAACCAATTGCTTAGAATGCTGGATCTGATCTTTTGGATGGGCTCCTCTGGATCAGTTCCTTTGGATCGGCTCCACTGGATCAGATCTTTTGGATCAGTTCATCTGGATCAGTTCTACTGGATCAGATTCTGTGGATCAGCTCCACTGGATCAGATTCTCTTGGGTCAGATCTTCTGGATCAGATCTTCTGGATCAGATCTTCTGGATCAGATCTTCTGGATCAGATCTTCTGGATCAGATTTTCTGGATCAGATCTCCAGGATCAGATCTTTTGGATCAGCTCCTCTGGATCAGCTCATCTGGATCAGCTCATCTGGATCAGCTCATCTGGATCAGCTCATCTGGATCAGCTCTTCTGGATCAGCTCCTCTGGATCAGCTCATCTGGATCAGCTCTTCTGGATCAGCTCATCTGGATCAGCTCATCTGGATCAGCTCATCTGGATCAGCTCTTCTGGATCAGCTCCTCTGGATCAAATCCTCTAGATCAGGTCCTCTGGATTAGCTCCGACTGATCCATGTTATCCACACGATAGTATAATAATTTCAGATAATCGAGGTATCGGACTGCAGAAAACAATTTGTATTTCACACGAATATCAGCGATACCAATGTTGTGGTGTTTCAGGAAACGGACGAAAGTGGGTGGAATGAGGAGATTCATCCGGTGACCTCGTGCCACGAGCGGTAATGCTACTGGCAAGCGGTGCTTCGATACCGACCATCGCCGGTACCGTCGAGGAGGAGGACGAATATGCACGCAGCGAGGCGAACAGCGCTCACTACGATGGCTATGTTACCGATCACACGGATCTCGCGTCCGAAATCGACATCGACGAGTCCGAGTACAGGCGGGAGCTGCTCAACGACGTGAGCACTGTTATTATCATTGTCGTTGCGGTAGAGCCTCCGTTGTTTCAACTAATCAAGATAGTCCGAAGTAGCCCGATGCAGCATAATATTCGTTTGTGACACGATAATGAATCTTAAAGATAAATTTTAGTGTTAAATAAAACATTTTCTTTCTTGTTCGTTTCTAAAGAATATAACATTTTTGATAGCCACGGCAAAATTTTGCTCAGCAATCTTGGCATATATTAAAATAAAATTAGCTCAGCACTCTCTCAAACGGATATACGCTACCACTCAAAAGTATCCGGACACTTATAAAATGTGTAAAAGCGACGCACATGTACTACGTAAATATCGAAAAGTGTAACGAACATCGTTCTTTATCATCCTTTACTGGGATAAGGGATATTCGTTGTTTTCACCGCAGCGAAGCAAGTGACTGCGTAGCGTAAACTCCAGAGTTATCTGTATGAGAGCCTATAAACATATCATCTGCTGTTTATAGACTCTTAATCTCGATCTCGACTATACAGGTTAAAGGAACCGAAGCTTGACGTTATTTCAGTAAATTTCGTATTTATAGACTTTAATTATGTTATTGTATTTTGATCGAAAAATTTATGCATGATAACAGATTTTGCTGTTTCCTGATACCTAAATACACGTAATTGTTAAGAAAGAAGATCTTTGTTAAGAAGATAAAATCTTTCTATATAATTTTTATATAACTTGAACTACATTGTGGTAAAAACAAGGAAGTGTCCGGGTACTTTTGAGTGGTACTGTAGCTTACAAGGTAGCTCTAGGTAGCTGAAGGTAGCTCAAGGTAACTCAAGATAGCTCAAGATAGCTCAGGATAAATCAAAATAGGTCAAAGTTGCGTAGAGGTAGTCCAAGATAAGTCGATGCAGCGTTAATTCTTCATCGACTTACACATATTATATGTAAACTGCACTGGTTCGGATAATCGAGGCCCTACTAAGTAATTAAAAACCCTAACTAAAAGCCCTGTAATAATTGACCATTGCCGAGATTTGAAGCTGAAATTCGTTAAAAGCTGTTTGCCTGTCTTTGTTTGATTACAGAAATGGCGAATGCTATTTGACAAGGTACGTGACCGCGTCCACCGTGGTAGTTAGTGCCAAAAAATTCGCTTACGCGATGCAGGGAGCGAGGTTGACCGATTCTTCTTCCTCAGTTTGATCCGGAGGGTTTTGGCGAGATACCAGTGGAGGATTTTTTGGCGGCTTTGAAAAGTCCCGAATGGAAAGCCGAGATACCGCCGAATAAACGAGATATTCTGCTCACCAGGGCGAAGGAATCGCGTGTTCAGGCAGTGACGTTCCAGGATTTCGTCAATGTGGTGAGTCACATTCAGAAATCACACGCTCACTGTCACAATAGTCGAAAGGTTTTCTTTGAATCGCCGCTAAAATACGGTTGATGGAACAAATTCGTCTGTACGCCGCGGGGATACGCGGTATCGGTTTTAGAACGTGTCCCCGCAGGAATTTCTCAACTTTCGATAGCGCGAATTAAAATTGAAAGATCGCACTATGCGATGAAATTATTTAATTTTGCAGGAAAATTCAAAGTTATGTCGGAAAATCGATAAATTCCGATTTATAGCTCGAAGAAGACATTACATTGCGCCATGTTCGTTCGATCCTAAAATGTGTTCCCGCACGAATTTTTATACTTTTGATAACCCAAATTAAAGCTGGAAGATCACATACTTTACGACGAATTTATTTAGCTCTGCAGAGAAATTCGAAATCATTTTGGAAAATGGATGAACACTGATTTAAAGGTTCGAAGAAGATAGTTGTAACAAAGGGGCTACTTCGATTCCATTTTAAAATGTGTTCCCGTACGAATTTTTAGACTTTTGACAGCGCATATTAAAGATAGAAGATCGAATTATACGACAATATTATTTCGGTTTCCAGAAAAATTCGAAATTATTTTTAATCATCGGGAAATCCCGAATATAGCTCAAAGAAGATAATCGCTTAAGAAGGGGCCATACCGATTCGATCTTAGAGTTTTTTTAAATATTTGTCAAACTATATTGAAGCTGAAAGTTTCCGCATTATGACGAATTTATTTAGGCTCGTAGAAAGATTCGAAATCATTTTGTAATATCAATGAATCCCGATTTAAAGCGCGGAAAAGACGATTGAATTATGAGTTACTTCGATTCGATTTTAGAATATGATCCCGCAGGAATTTTTACACATTTAACAAATCAAATTGAAGCTGAAAGATTGCACTTTACGTTATTTAGATTCGTAGAAAAATTCGAGATCTTTTTGGAGTATCGATGAGTCCCGATCTAAAGCTTGAGAAAGATAATTGCTGAAGAAGGGACTATTTCGATTCGATCGTCGAATGTCTTCCCGCAGGGATTTTTAAACTTTTACTAGCGCTAATTAAAACCTAAACATCGTACTAGACGAAAATTATTTAGGATTGAAGGAAAAATTTTAATTTTAATTTTAATTTTAACGTCGGAAAAATGACTTCTTTTTCGAATTGCTGATATTACAATAAAAATATCAAATAGAACTGGAAATGCACAGGTACAAATTATATACAAGCCCGGCCATATACGACTGACAAGTATAATCTACTTAAAATTAAACAATATAGTGCTTCTAGAACGAACAATCCTGCGAAATCTAGCATCCTTCGAAATCAACCTTGCGTGTTGCAGTTGCGTGCAGTTCACTTGCTGACTGTTCCATTCAGATAGAGGGTGCTAGTAGTACATCCCTAAGATTCAACAACGTCGGTATTTCAGATTGAGCCGCGTGGAACCACAAATTATAATCGATTTATGTCTATTTCTCATCTACGATGTAGAACACCATAAGCTTGAAACACAGACGGGATATCAGAGTAGATCAAGCACTGTGTGAACTTTCGTGTTGCATATTTTGAAATACAAATACATCGTTAAAAACTAGGAGTTTCCTCGCAACAATTCGGGTTGTCAGGAAATTTTACAAAATATATATTATACCAGATAATATAATTTTATAATATAATATAATAAATATATATATATATAAATTAATATATTATTATATTTATTATATTATTATATATATTTTATAATATAATTTTATAATATAATTTTTTGAGACAATTTAAACGTTTGAAATAATTTAACTTTTTGAAACAATTTAGCTGTTTAAAATAATCTAACTGATTGAAATAATTTAATTGTCCGAGATGATTTCACTGTTCGAGACGATCAAATAAATTGAAACAAAAATGAGGAGAATAAATAAAGAAGACGAAAATATAATAGCTAGAAACGAGTCAACGTCGAACCTACCTATTATAGCAGAAGTATAAAGTAAAAAATTGAATTCCGATAAATTAGATTCAATGACCCAAGGATGATAACAACATAACTACGACACAACAAGATCTATGAATCTATCTATTCTCACACTTTATTTAAAGATCATACATTACATTTGTTACAGACATATATTATAATTTACAATATCGAAGAGAGTTATTTTAGTAAGTTATTATAGTAAGCAGCTATTAGCTCGGTGTCATCCTCGGTTCACAAAATAAATCACAATTTGTAATATTTTGTGAACCGAGGATGATACCGATTGCCCAGGTCTCACCGCGAGGAGGTTGCTGCTTTAGAGACCCGAAAGGAAGTCAGAACGAAGCCGGAATTCGCTATGGCTCCCTTTCTAACAACGACGACTTATAAACTAATACGCTCGCTAGCTAGCTATCACACATTCCCACACACTCACTCGTTCGCATATGTCAAGTACTATCGCGGACCAAAGTGGATCAAAGAAGAAGTCTCCGATCCACGGGGACCAAAATGAATCAGTGCAGAAGGCAGTGATTCTTTCAAAGTAAGAAACAACTGCGAGTCAGTGCAGAAGGCACTGAGTCGTGGGTGACGCGACGCGTACAATGCTTGCACAAGACCGGAGCCTTACAAATCTCGAAGTCCGGCGCGATCACATGAGGAGTGACGATCCAAAGTTGGATCCTCCCACACAGTGGGATGCCATTTCTCGCCCTGCGACCTAAAACTAACTTAGGCCGCCTTACCCGTCTGAATCGGCACTAGGAGAGAGCCTACACAGGCAAACCTGTGTGACCATTTCTCTCCCAACACCCCGCCCCTCATAGGAGCTAAGGGCGGATTACTGGCCGAACAGCGACCAGGGAAGAGCATTCACGCCGCATGATCACTCGTCGAACATCGAGAAGTGTTCGTACCTACCCAAGAGATTGCGCAAGCAAGGCCGCCACAGCTTTCTGCTGTGGCGGAGTCAAAGACGAGACGCGAAAAAATAAGGCTAAGGCAATAATACTCGACATATGCGAAATTAGCGAATCGGGTACCTCGGGGACGCTACCCCCCGTGCCCCCCACGGGCGCTCCCGTGGGTCGGGGGCCCCTGAGGGAACTTAACCCCTTGCCGCACCATTTTCTTTAAATTTATAATGACTAGAAATATACCGATTATAATTATTTCTCAGAAGGAGAAGAAAATTTCTAATTATTGTGAGACTACATTTCATTGAACAAGTAAATATTGTAGTGAAAAGAAGAGAAGTTTAGACGAAATTGGAAGAATAAAATAATGTTCATTCTTAAGAAAAATCTTTAGTAAAAGCTAGACCCGTTAAAGTACGGCAAGAGGTTAAGAATCTTAAACTAAGCCACACACACACACATATCAACTAACTCGCACGCACTTAATAACTAAGACGAATCCCACGGCGGATGAAAATCCCACGGCGGATGATAATATCTGTAATGAATCTGAAAAGATTGAATTCTAGTTAGTACGAATACAAAATAGGTGACAAGTCAAATTAGGAAACCTAAGACCAGCACACGAGTGCCAAGCTAACCCGCACACGAGTGCAATTTTTGGGAAAATGAAGGAAACTAAGACGCATCCCACGGCGGATGATAATATCTGTAATGAACCTGAAAAGATTGAATTCTAGTTAGTACGAATACAAAATAGGTGACAAGTCAAATTAGGAAACCTAAGACCAGCACACGAGTGCCAAGCTAACCCGCACACGAGTGCAATTTTTGGGAAAATGAAGGAAACTAAGACGCATCCCACGGCGGATGATAATATCTGTAATGAACCTGAAAAGATTGAATTCTAGTTAGTACGAATACAAAATAGGTGACAAGTCAAATTAGGAAACCTAAGACCAGCACACGAGTGCCAAGCTAACCCGCACACGAGTGCAATTTTTGGGAAAATGAAGGAAACTAAGACGCATCCCACGGCGGATGATAATATCTGTAATGAACCTGAAATGATTGAATTCTAATTAGTCTGAATACAAGGCGAAATACGAAACCTAAGACCAGCACACGAGTGCCAAGCTAACCAGCACACGAGTGCCACACTAACCAGCACACGAGTGCCACACTAACCAGCACACGAGTGCCACACTAACCAGCACACGAGTGCCAAACTAACCCGCACACGAGTGCAATTTTTGAGAGAATGGATGAAACAAAATTTAACAAACTTAAATTAAGAACCCTAACAACCTACAAGCGCCTCGGGTACCTCGGGGACGCTACCCCCCGTACTCGCCCACGGGCCCCACCCGCAAGCGAGCCCCTGAGGGACCTCCGATCGGAGGAACACCAATTTCAACACTTATCGAACGAAGCATTATTCAGAGCCCCGACTTATAGTATAAATTCACACACTTTTACAATACATACTTGTTACAATACAAAGTTTGCAGCTATTTGCTCGGTATCATCCTCGATCCAGAAATTCATTGTAATTCTCAATATTTCCTGAACCGAGGATGATACCGATTGCCCGGGTCTCACCGCGAGGAGGTTGCTGCTTTAGAGACCCGAAAGGGAGTCAGAACGAAGCCGGAATTCGCTATGGCTCCCTTTCTAACAACGACGACTTATAAACTAACACGCTCGCTAGCTAGCTATCACACATTCCCACACACTCACTCGTTCGCATATGTCAAGTACTATCGCGGACCAAAGTGGATCAAAGAAGAAGTCTCCGATCCACGGGGACCAAAATGAATCAGTGCAGAAGGCAGTGATTCTTTCAAAGTAAGAAACAAGTGCGAGTCAGTGCAGAAGGCACTGAGTCGAGGGTGACGCGACGCGTACAATGCTTGCACAAGACCGGAGCCTTACAAATCTCGAAGTCCGGCGCGATCACATGAGGAGTGACGATCCAAAGTTGGATCCTCCCACACAGTGGGATGCCATTTCTCGCCCTGCGACCTAAAACTAACTTAGGCCGCCTTACCCGTCTGAATCGGCACTAGGAGAGAGCCTACACAGGCAAACCTG